TTTTTTTGGTTTTTCTCCGGTACCGGGAACTGAACTCACGACCTTGCGCTTGCCAGGCAGGCACTTTTGCTGCTGAGCTAAATCCCCAGCCCCGATCCCACCTTATTTTCCACCAAAAATTCTAGGAACATTAAGAAAACTAATTTTTTCATGACTCTCCTATATTCAGAATGCCTCATTTCCTTATTTACATTTTAATCTATGATGCAGGCATATATATGGCTGCTGTACAAATGTTATCATGAAGATTATTTCTAGAGCAACAGAACCATGATCTGCAATAGTGATATTATACCCTATCCTAGGTTTATGTTCTTTACCTAAACTTGTTTCTTTCCTTAAACTTAAAATGCAGAGATAAAGAAAACTATTTCAGTTTGTGAAGGAATACACCTAAATTGCCCCTCCAACCCCACCTTCAAAGCCATGATCATCCTGTCTCAGCCTCTTCTGATGCTGGGACTAAAGGAATGCAACACTGCATTTGGCTTAGACCTTTATACATTAAGTGAGAAGAGGGCAAATACTGATGTGTAATGATTTGTATTAAAATAATTTTGATACTGGAGAGTAAACCTAGGAGTTCTAAACCACTGAGCTACATCTGTGGAACTTCAACGTATATTTTGAGACAGGATCTGACTAAGTTGAATAGGTTAGCTCAATTTTGTTTTCCTCTCATCTCTGCCTCTGAGTTGTTGGGATTACAAACCAACATCACAAGGCCTAGCAAGAATTTTTTTCATGGGAAAGTAAATGTTCTTAGGTTAAAACATCTTGTAGTTTCAATACTCCATCACAAGCTGGAATAGCAGTACACATTACGTATCTTCCTGTTGATAGTAAGAAGCAGAAATTTGTTGCAGGGAAGTTAGACAAAACTTGTAGGGTGTACAAATTGACATGGTAGTCTGCAGTGAATTATACTTTATGAATTATATCAGATATTTCAGATGTAGTATTACATAATTGGTGAATAATTTGTGTGTAAGCATAATTAAGACTAGGGCAAGTATAGTGTTCACTGCATTATGGGTATTTAAAAATGAATTGTTCACTTATGCTTTCATACCATAAATTTGTTTTTTGTGTTTTTTTTGGTACTGGGAATCAAACTCAGGACCTTGTGCTTGCCAGGCAGGCGCTTGTGCCACTGAGCTATATCCCTGGCCCTGATACCATAAATTTGTAACAGTGTAACCCCATCAGAAATTGAGCAGTTTTTGAATTTGAGAACATTGTGTAAAACATTTAAAAAATTATTTCAATGTTAAAGTATTTAAAAATACAGGTTACAGGAGACCAACAGGGATCCAGGCACACACCTTGAGCCAGTCTATGTGCTTCAAGGCATTTGTCACATACCGTGAACGTTAGTAAGTGCTTTTTATGAATGAAAAAATGGCATTGTATAAATTTATCTCTAAAACAGGCAAAACAACACAATCTGAACTATAATTTAGTAAATTCCACTTTTTACAAAACTGACTGATAACTCTCATGAGTTAGATTCCCCTTCTTGGCATTATTTCCACTTACTAAGTAAAACCAATAATAATGGCCAGACATGGTGGTACATGCTGGTAATCCCAACACTCAGGAGTCTGAGATAGGAGGTTTGCCATGAGTTTGCGGCCAGCCTGGACTACACAGTGAGTTCAAGGCCAGCCTGAACTACACAGTGAAATCCTGTCTCAAAAAATATGAACACTGACAAAAGTGAGCGAAGGCCAGCCTGAACTGCAGAGGGAGACCCTGTCTCAAAGACAAAAAAAAAAAGCCAGTACTGTCCAAATTGATCTAAATATTCACAAATCCCAGTAATTTTTCAAGTTAAATAATTTCAGAAAAAGACACAATCCATTTATTTTATAGTGCATCAGAAGAAATTAACATCACAGTCAAGGAAGACTAGGAAAGGGGAAGCTACTACTTTAAATACCCAAGAATTCTGACCTATTTATACTTTTCTGTGGCACATGAAAGTAATTTTTAACATTTTTGTAGTCAAGTTAACCTTTGGGAACATATAGTGCTATTGCTAAGAGTAGTGATTCCATTCGTTTCCAGGTTTGCTGACTGTATGACTGAGTGACACAAGGCACAGTAGCTGCCCTTTTTACTGTGCCGCAACAGCGAATGTGCCTTGAGAATGGGCTGATTAAACAGGACGGCAACACACAGGGGAGACTTTCAAATTGTTTATATAAATCTAAGTACAGTAGTTCACAAAAAGCTTGTTTTAAGCACACTTTCACAGATGTTTTGTTTATAATAAACATCAAACTTCCTAAAAAATGTAAATACCAAAGATAGAATGGCATCAGAGCAAAAGGGGAAAACGGCATTTATCTCAGTACATTCAATAGCAATTATTCTCCCCAAAACAACTTCACTCTTCACAAAAATTCCTTTGAAAGTGTTGTTACTGATAAACCATATCATCATTTATAATTTTGAAATTATTATAATTCATGATATCCTTTTGGAGACAAATTATGGTCCTGCTGGTCTATGGCAACCAGAAAATAACAGCAGCTTTAGTTATTTTTGGTGTATATGGTGGATAAATTACCACCAAATTAAGTCATTGGAATATAAACAAGATGTTATGATTTGTCTCCGGATGTCCCCTGCTAAAGCTTCATGCAGTCATAGGGCAGACTTCCACAGTTTTTGATTGATCCATGGTCCAATGCTGGGGTAATGGTTGTGAGTGATACATTCGCGCTGGAGTGGATAGTTTGTATACGATATAGGGACAGAAAGATTCTGCTGTCTGCCACTTCTCCCCTTTTTGCTCTTGTTGCTTTTGCTGTTTTCTGCCATCATGAACTGTTGCCCTCTGCATGTGCCACTCTGCCTTGGAGCCAGCCAAGTATGGACCTTAAACCTCCATAAACTGTAAGCTAAATATACCTTTCCTTCCCTAATTTTGGGCATCAGGTATTTTGTCTCAGCAACAAGAAAAAAGTAATGAAGACACAAGAAAAGCACAATTTTGATGGTAAGAAAACAAAATCTTATGTAAATAATATTGGCCCTGATATGCGAGAAAAATAGGTAAAATTATGTACATGAAATACTATACAACAAGCAGGTGTCTTGTTATATGAGAAACATAATGTGGTAATCTACAAGCTGTACAGAAACAAATCAACTTTGTCAAAAATGCATGTTCACAAGTCTCTAAAAGTACCTTAATATAAAATATGGCACCAAATGAAAAATATCCCCTCACATAGAGTAAACTCACCAAAAATTTAAAACAGAGGTAGTGGCAAAATCCCAACAATTAACAAAAAGCAATTAACAAAATTAAGTTTTTTAGTGGTCTATACTTCCCAATAGTAAAGACTAAACAAAAATTACATAAATACTAACTCTACCTGAAAGTGAAAAAATAATTTCAATTCACCATGCTTAATTGACACTATGTATTAAGTGCAAAGACATTTACATAAATATACCTAGTTATATCAACTCATTTTTATATTAAATACTACAGACACATAATACAGATATTTATTTAAGTGATTTCTGAAAAACACACATAATACGTGTACTTTAGGAAAATTTTATCTGGGATGGTATTTTCTGGAGATTTTATGAAGAAATACTGACATCAAGCTTTTTATATTTATGATCCCCACAATTCTCAGTTACATGAGAAATTTTCACAGGACTTTCAAAATAGGCTTATATATATAGTTTCACTCCACTGAGATTTCGTTCATTTATTTGACAATAGATCTGTGTAATTTCTACATAAAGTCTCTTCCCACTGAGTTCTTCTGTCTTTCACAAGCTCTAGGCATGCTCAAAGCTTTCCCACACTGATTTATAAGATAGAATTAATGTGAAGTGTGAGTTCTTTCATGTCTTTGACAATAACAAACTTTGCCAAAAACTTTCCCACATCGCTTAAAGTTTCATCTCCAGTGTGAGTTCTTTCATGTATTTTACAATTATTTTGTCTACTAAAAGCTTTCCCACATTGTCTACATACATATCTCTCCCTAGTGTGAGTTCTTTCATGCATTTTACAGTAATACTGTGCAGTAAAAGCTTTCCCGCATTGTTTACATACGTAGGGCTTCTCCCCTGTGTGAGTTCTTTCATGTACAGTACAATAGTTTTGTGTACTAAAAGCTTTCCCACATTGCTTACATACATACGGTTTCTCTCCAGTGTGAGTTCTTTCATGTGTTTTACAGTGACCTTGTGTACGAAAAGCTTTCCCACATAGCTTACATACATAGGGTTTCTCCCCAGTGTGAGTTCTTTCATGTATATTATAATAACTTTGTGAACTGAAACCTTTCCCACATTGTTTACATATGTAGGGTTTCTCCCCAGTGTGCGTTCTTTCATGTCTTTTACAACGACCTTGTGTATGAAAAGATTTTCCACACAGCTTACATACATAGGGTTTCTCCCCAGTGTGAGTTTTTTCATGTACAGTATAATAACTTTGTGTACGGAAAGCTTTCCCACATTGCTTACATACATAGGGTTTCTCCCCAGTGTGAGTTCTTTCATGTCTTTTACAATAATGTTGTGTACTGAAACCTTTCCCACATTGCTTACATAAATAGGGTTTCTCCCCACTGTGAATTCTTTCATGTATTTTACAATGACCTTGTACACGAAAAGCTTTTCCACAGTGCTCACACACGTATGGCTTCTCCCCATTGTGAGTTCTTTCATGTTTCTTACAGTAACGTTGTGTACTAAAAGCTTTCCCACATTGCTTACACAAATAGGGTTTCTCCCCACTGTGAATTCTTTCATGTATCTCACAATGACCTTGTACACGAAAAGCTTTTCCACAGTGCTTACACACATATGGTTTCTCCCCAGTGTGAGTTCTTTTATGTGTTTTATAGTAACATTGTGCACTAAAAGCTTTCCCACATTGCTCACACACATAGGGTTTCTCCCCAGTGTGAAGTGTTTGATGTATTTTACAGTAACGTTGTGTAGTAAAAGCTTTTCCACAATGCTTACACACATAGGGTTTCTCCCCAGTGTGAGTTCTTTCATGCATATTACATCCACTGTGCCTCGTAAAAGCTTTCCCACATTGCTTACATACATAGGGTTTCCCTACATTGTGAATTCTTTCATGTATTTTACATTGTCTGTGCCTGCTGAAAGCTTCCCCACACTGCTTACATATATAGGGTTTCCCCCCATTGTGAATTCTTTCATGTATTTTACATTCACTGTGCCTGGTGAAAGCTTTCCCACATTGCTTACATACATAGGGTTTCTCCTCAGTGTGAATTCTTTCATTGCTCGGAACATCATTGGGTGTGCTGAAGGCTTTCAAGTTATCCTTGCATACAAAGGTCTTCTCTCTAAGTTGAGATCTTTCAATAAGATTAGTGTAAGATTTCCCACATTGGGGTTCTTCTCCAGTGTTTATCCTTGCATCCTTCTGAAAAGACTGGGACTCACTGCAGGACCTTACATGTTCATCACACTTATACAGCTTCTCTTCTGATCCCAAGTACTCAGATGTCTGCAGTTCAGTGTGAGCTATGTTGGGCACATTTTGTGACAAGGGCTCAATCAGGGGCTTTCCACAAGCAAGGCCTTCAGCTAGTTTTAAACCAGCTTGTTTCATGTCCACATTAGCATCTGGAGTCCAAAGGAATATTTCTTCATATTGATTCCAGCCTTTATTTTGATAGCATTTCTCAACCTCTTCATTGCTGTAGAGAAAAAAAAAAAAAACTAGTTGCAATATAATGGGTCTCATATTAATCATTTAGCACAAGTTTTGATTTGATGCCTCCTAAGAAATTCTGATAATGAATTACCGGAATGCCCTAGAAAATACCATCAAATCAGCCATTCCCAAGAGTGGTATTCATTTGGGAATTTAAAAATTGGTACATTTTGCAATACAGAAGGCTTAGTTTCATTTTGGGCAACTGCTACATATGTGTATCACCAACTGATCATTTTGATACCTTTTCCCTCTTCCCTCTTCCCTCTCTCCTTACCCTGCTTTGTCTTCCCAAAAAGTCAGCCTTTCCTTTTTTAATTGCCTCTCTTTTATTCTACTCCCCAATTTACAGTTTTAGTTTCTCATATAAGAGAAGACATGTGACCTTTTACATTCTGTGTCTGACTTATTTAACTTAATGCTACAGGATGAAAGCCCACCCATTTCTTTTGCCAGACAACATATTCATCTTCATGGTTGATTATATAGCACATTTTTTTCTTCATCTTTTCAGTGCTGGGACTTAAACACAGATCTTCACACTGAATTACATCTGCAGCTATTTTATTTCTTATTTTGAGAGATTCTCATTCATGATTAAGTTGCTCATGCTGAGCTTCAATTAGTCATCTTCTTGAATCAACTTCCCAAAGTGCTGGGAATATCAAAAATCATGCTGAATGTATCAAAAATTTTCTTAACCCATTCATCCAGTGATGGACATCTGTTATATATTGTCCTGTTTTGAGTATGTGTATGCACATATCAGTATAATGTGATGATTTTAACTCTTTTGGGACTATACCCAGGAGAGGTATTCCTGGATCAAACAAAACTTCTATTTGTAATTTTTGAGATGTCTGTATGCTGATTATCATAGTGGTACACTTAACATTCACACCAACAATATTGGAGGGTGCCTTTTAAGAATTCTAAAACATGAATGGACTCAATTCTCTGGAGGATGGCTTAAAACACTTGTAAGACTAACATGCATATGTACTTTGAATACTGCTTCAAGATTAGCTATGTTTTTAGATATTCAATGTCTCATATTCACATGTATACATAAATAGATGTGCTGAAGAAGGGTTTCAAAATTCACTTCCTTTCATATACACCTATACATAACACTAAATGCAATTTCATGCAGTTTTACAATGGTGATCATGACAGAACTTTCTTTATACTTACATGTCTAACAGTGTTACTTGCTGCATGATATCAGTGCTTAGTTTCCTGTATAGGAATAGTTCTATATTCAGTTGGCAAATTATACATAGTAAAACTATATACATCTTTGGAGAATATTTGTGATTAAATGTGGAGATTAAATAAATGTGAACATCGCCATGTTTCCCTGGTTGTGATATTTGTTTATGAAGTGTATGCACTGAATCTTGAGGAATATTTTTTCCTTTTGAGTACAAATTACCTTAGATTTCTCCAGTAATTTTTGTACTCTTCTTCAACTTCCTGGTTATCCAAGACTCCTCCTGAATTACAGACAGAAACACAAGAAGATACTATAACATAAAAATGAATAGATTCCAGTTATTTTCATGGTATAATGTAACCAGGTCTGAGATATTCCACAAAATATTTTCACATTCTATTGAATGACACTGCATTGATGAAGAACAATGTTCTCTTATTGTATAAAGGAGAAAGTAATGTCAATTTTTACCTATAGCAGCCATGTTCCTAAAAGTTTCCCTCATCACATGTCTGTAGAGCTTCTTCTGGGATGGAGTAAGCAAAGTCCACTCCTCCATGGTGAAGTTCACAGCAACATCCCCAAAGGTCACTGCCTCCTAAATGATCAAACATACATTTCTTGAAGGAAAACAACAACAATAAACTGTGGAAACATTTCTCTTGGTAATTTCTTGAATCATCATTTATTGAAAATTCCAAGGGAGGAAACAAAAAGAACATTGTTTATAGAAAATCACACATAGTGAACTTAGGAAGAGTCACCAAAAGTGGCCGAGTGGTCATCCATGGGGTAGCTTGAGTCAGCTAAGGTTTCGGTCACCTGGACACTCTCATCCATTGTCCAAAACCCAAGATGAAACTTTCTGAATATTCCCAGGATACAGTACAACTCCACAAAGTCACAATTTGGAGTTCATGTCCTCAGTCACTCACAGATTTTTCCTTAGTACCTTATAATTGTTCACAGAAACCCCTGCAATTTTGCAGAAACCACAACTCTCGTCCACAACTATTTTTTTGCAAGAGGCTTCCAAGTAGCAGTCCAAGAGTGCTATTCAGTTCTCTTTGCTGATGACTAGCTGCTACCCTGTAACCCATCTCCAGTAGATGCACCAGTATTCCTGCACCATAATAGGCTGCTGTACTGCATGTAGCTATCTCCAGTGTTCTTGGTTTTGTTTCTTTATTTTCCGCTTGTGTCCTAATACCACATTCAGTTACTGAATACTTCAATGGATGAATCCACTGATAAGCATGTGTCCCACAAAATCCAAGCAACTTATAAACACATGAGACGTCTGGGGAACATTTCCAATATAGATTATGACACCAAGTCTGCTGTAGGGAGAAAAGACAGGATATCCAACATGTCATAGTCCTACACATACACATGAGTCAAGAGTCTCTGCAACACTCCTGATGTCACTGCACATTTTACAGAGAAGTATGGCTGTAGGTACTGAGTTAGCTAAGATAGGACTGTGTCCATACTGATGTCACCTCATTAGAATACAATAGGATACTTAGGTCTTGGTTGATGGCACCTCCTCACCCTGAGGGTCAGAAAGGACTAAGGTCATAGCATCAGCAGTTGACATGTAAAAACAAAGACACCAGAGCTGATAAAGGGAGACCCAAGTCTTGCCAAGGCTGCATCTTTCCCAACATGAAAATCAACAACTACAAAACAACTAGAAACAATGCAAAATCACAATCAGTGGAATAAGTGAGTGAAGTGGCTAAAATACAAACCTCCTAACAATCTGTAGTGGTTGATTGATTGTGTCAACTTGAGAAGTTTAGAAACTCAACTTGGCTCAGCAATTCTATACTCTAGGGTGCAGAGTGTAGTGGTTGATTGATTATGTCAACTTGAGAAGTTTAGAAGCATAACTAAACTTGGCTCAGCAATTGGCTCAGCAATTCTACACCCCACGGTGTAGAGGAGCCACCCTAGGGTGTAGAGGAGCCAAGCTAGGGTGTAGAGGAGCCACGCTAGGGTGGATCATCACCTAGATAATAAAAGGAAATGAAGAAGGACAGCAGTACTTCCATTCATTTTGGAGGAGCTCCAGTCTTTACCTTCAGCTTGGACTTCATCTCCTGGCTTCTAGTACAGACTCTTCGGCTTCCACCTTGGATCCTTCAGCCTTCTGTCGCAGACTCATCGGCCTCCTGGTATGGACTTGCATGGAACTCTGCAGTGAACTCCAGACCCTGGACTGATTCCTTCGGTCTTCAGTGTACAGACACCCTCTGCACGCTTCCTCATACAACTCTTTGGCTGACCATCATAAGCCAATCTTGCAATGTGTTATACATTTGCACATCTTGTGTTACATCTGTTTCTCTAGTAAAACCCTGATACACAGTCCTTTGAGTAACAGCTTGAGGCAAAGAAATGATATACTTTTTCAGCACATTAATAATACTATAACTTCAATTATTAACTCATTCAAAATTCCAACAACTCATTCCATTTAGCAAAGTAACGCTCTGTTTAGTAACGTGACAGTAAAGCCACAGAGAGCATTCCCAAATCCATCCTGTGACCTTTGAGTGTAGTTAGATGAAATCAAACAGATGAACTAGAAGTAAACAGAGTCAATCTGTTCACCAGCAGGGTTCTATTTATGCATGTTTATGTAAATGTAAGAGAAATAATTTCTGACTAAATTTGTTTTGCTTCTTCATATGCAGTCCACTAGTTTTTAAGAATATCAAATCCTTATGGATAAATCATGAAAAAAATTTCTAAATCCCTTGGGTAACTTCTCTCTCTCTCTCTCTCTCCCTCTCTCTTACTCTTTATAAACAATATGCACCAAAAGAAGCAATAGGGAAGAAATTCACAGGAGAACACACACTCAGAATGTTAAACATAATCTTGAGCTCACACCCTACTCTCAGTTGTGCCCCATGCATCCAGACTGTCTCACTCTCAGGTGGTGAGGAAAATATGGGAAACTAGGACATTTAAACTGGGAACTTCCACACATGCTTTTTCACTGTACTCCCAGGGTAAAACAGCTTTCTTTCCACAGACTTAATTCTGAAAAGATACAACTCACTCATTCATTGAAAGTTGAACTGTGCCTTTTCTAAATTTCACTTTAAAATTCAAATGTGTATGTTTTTGCTGAACACTAAGAAATTCTCTACCAGTCACAGATAGGCCCAAAGTTCAATAAATACACCGCCCAGACTTACCACAGTTCCATCAAATTCAGAGCCCAGTTCTAACACACAGCAACAAAATCAGATTCCAAAAATAAGTGTCTTGGCAGGCATGGTGGCACATGCTTGTAATCCCAGCACTTGGGAGGCTGAGGCAGGAGGATAGCTGCAAGTTAGAGCCCAGCCTGGGCTACATAATGAGTTCAAGGTTACCCTGAACTGCACAGCAAGACCCTGCCTCAAAAAAGAAATTGTCTTGAAGTGGCATATTATAAAAAGAGATATTTACATTGTTCAGGAAATTATAGTAATTTTAGGTTCGCTATTCCAGATTCTGGGGAAAATTATCATTTAAAAAAAATTATTACACACACGTCAGTAGTCTAAAATTTACAGAAACTAATGGAATATGTGGATGAATCCAAAGACTGATTTTACATTGGCAACTACACATTCTCCGCAGACACCAATTATAATTTTCTAAACATAAAGACAAATGGTTGATGATGTGTAATTTAACCTTACATTGTGATCATTTAATTAGAAATGATTATAAACCTCCCACCATAACTGGGCTTTGTTTTCCACACCTGTATTCACACTACTCTTATAGACCAAGACAACAGCATCAAATTCAACTCCTAGCTTATGCATTATAGACTTGCTACCAAAACTAAAAAAATTTAAAATGGGTGTTATGTAGCTCAGAATAAATGTCCTGAATTCAGCCAGGAATACTGTTCCCATGACACTTGGATAATGCTCTTCACCTAATTTTTAATTGCACAACAAGGCCAGATATAATTTTCTACATTCCAAGTTTGCCTCATAAGACATTAGGTCAACGGACACTTGCAACAAAGGTCTTATTAGTCTAACTTTAAGTAAATTTCTTAGTATTCTTCAGCCTTGTGACCTCTAAATCAGATTCAACTCAAGCCAGCATTAAGGGACAAAATAGTAAATTATGAAAGTTAATCAAGAAAGCCACCAAAGAGCAAAGTACAATCCAGCAGCTAATACACAACACTAAAAAGACCAACCAAAGTATCTTCCTTAAAGAGCTAAAGATATCATAATACAGCAATACATGCAAACCAATGGTTATAGCAGCACAATTCAAAATAGTTAACTCTTGGAATCAGCCTGTATATCCATCAACAGATGATTGGGTAGAGAAATGTGGTAACGATGTATTATGGAATATTATGCAGTTACAAAGAAAAGAATTTGAGACTTTTGTAGGAAAATGGATGTACCTGAAAAATGAAACATCGAGTGAAATAAATCAGACACACAAGGTTTAATACCACATAATATCTCTCATTTTGAGTGAGGCAAAATAAAGAAAAAAAGAGAGAAGGGTATCAATCTCTTGCAGATGGGAAGTGGTCCTGGGTACTAAGGCTGAGAGTAGAAGGGGAAAGGAAGGTGAAAGAAATAGAATAAAGATATGCCACATAAGGGAAGTTAATAACCTCAATGAATGTAAACATTCTGTCATAAATATAAAGAATGATATTAACAAGAACAAAAAAGGGACATCCTGGAGTGCATCTGAGCCCTGGGACAGCCAGGTATGCTCTGTGAACTGGCTGGGGATCCCGGACCTGCCACCCTGCCTCCTGCCACCATGCAGTGTGTGTCTGAGCCCTGGGAGAGCTAGGTGCACTCTGTGAACTGGCTGGGGATCCTGGACCTGCCTTCTGCTACCAGATTGTGTGTCTGAGCCCTAGAAGAGGCAAGTTGTGCTCCATGAACTGCCTGAGGATCCCAGACTGGCACCCAGCCTCCCACCACCATTGTGGGGCAAGTCAGACACCCAGGAAACCCAGGGACACTCAAGACCATTGATGAGCTGCCTGGGGAGGGTGAGGCATGGCGCTCCACCTCCAGCATCGAAATGACAAGATGAAGGACCAAAATACAATCTCAGAACTTTACCCCACAAGACCAGGAGACACTGACATAAGAGAACTTGGAAGTCAAACACCAGAAATTTCTGAAATGATCACAACTGAGGTAAAGAAACAACTCCATCAGGCCATAGAAGAAATCAGATCAGAAATAATCTCTCAGTAAAAAAAAGAAATGACAAAAATAATGAAAGAATTGCTCAGCACATTTAAAGGAGACATAGATAAAAAATAGAGGAGCATAGAAAAATGATGGAAACCTTGAATAAACAATATAAGAACTAAAATACATGAAACAGAGTCAAACAGATATCTAAGAAATTAAAACTTCCATTAAAAGCTGGCAAAACTACTTGAATGAAACTGAGGATAGACTTTCAGACATTGAAGATAGCATTGCAGCTAACAATTGTGAAAGGAAGGATCTCTTAAAAATAATAAGGAACCGGGAAATAACAATTCAACAGCTGCAAGATGAAGCAAAGGAAAACAATGTAAGATTA